TCCCTTTGCATGAGCTACAGCAGAGAAGAAACCCAGTGAAGCCCTTTTTCCCCCATTAAAAGCAACCTGTATTCCCCAAATGCCTCCAAACAAGCAGGTGGGGGCTGTGGATTAGAGCTCTGGGCTCCAGGGAGACTCAAACATGAAGCTCTGACAGGCAGAGAACATTCCTTTTTTCTCCTCAGCATCTCTCTGAGCTCATTTTGCACAGCTCTTCTCGCCCAGGATTCTGTGTGTCAAGATGTCTCTGCAGCCAGGCAGGGGAAGAGTTCCACAGCAAAATGCAATGGAATGGTGTTAAGCACCCTCTGGAATCCATCTTCCCAATGCTCCTGAAGCTGTGCTCTGCGAGATGCCATTTGCTCAGGGCTAAATCCTACCTGCTGGAGACGTGTTCACATAAATAACCTGAGGATGATCAGTGGTAAAACTGCCAATAACCACCCCCATATTTACCAGATAAAAAGAGTTTTGCAGGCTTGGAAGCTGCTGTTCTTTTCCAAGTTGGAATTGAGGCTGGAAGAAGAATGATTCCCTTACTCTGGACCAGGAGCTGCACCCAACTTAATGAGCCCCAAGCTGGTCGTGATGGTTTAATGCTGCAGCAAGAGACATGGAAAACAACTGGGTTTGTACCTCTGCCGCTTCTTAGATGCTCTAATGAAGAGGGACGTGTATAAACATGCTTGCAAGAAAGGAATCCTTTTCAGTGTTTTGCTGTGTGCTGTGCTGGAAGAAAGACAGGAAGAATAACCTTTATCACAGAGTGGTTTGCCCAAGAGCAGGTTAGGAACAGAATCCGTTCCCCTGGGGTGAGGCAGCAGAGCTCTGTTCCAGGAGCTTCCTTGTGCTCCTCCTCACCTGGACCACCCCAAGAGCAGGGCTTCAAGAGAACAACCTCCACTCTCAAAGGCAGGGATGAGCCACCCAAACCCCTGAGGAAGCCAGGAAAGGCTTTTCCAACAGATTCCCCTCAGTTCCCCTACATCCCTCCCTAGGAGATGTCCCTCCCTATGGCCCACCAGCATCTCCTCCAAGCCTCAGAGCCAACTCACCTACACTCACCAGCTCCAAAACCAAGCTCAAGGCCAGTCCTGGATGCTCCCAGTGCCTCTGTTTCCTGACAGAGGAGCTGCTGAGAACTGATTTCTGTAGATACAGCACCACCACCTCAAGTATCTTCCCTACATCCTGCTGCCCCACCACCTTCTCCTCCTCCTTTCGGATCTCAGAATCTCTTTCACTCCTTACTCGTGCTTCTGAGAGCTCCTGCCCTGCTGCTAAATGAGAGTTAAAATTAGCCACCAAGTCCTAGGAAAAAAAGCACTTCCATGCAAGTCATCCAGGAACTAAAAATTATACCAGGGATATTTCAAGTTGGAAACAAGAGTCCCAACTTCTTCAAGCTGGCTGCAGTCCCCTGGCACAGGCTGAACCTGCCATGGCTGACTACAAAACATCGCCTGAATGGGAAACAAGGCAGGAAGAACGTGCTTTCACCTTGAAAGGGAAGACCTTTCCCTGCATCTACTCAAGGAACACAAAAGGAATGACTTTTAAATGGCTCTTGAAGAAGTGACTTGACAGGAGGCTCCTCATGAAAAGGTTCATGAAAAGAAGGCCTTGACATTTCTGCTGTTGTTGCTGTTTGGAGACAAGGCTCCAAACCCCCTCTCCAGGCTCTGTCCTGGCACCTCTTTTGTGTTTTAACTTGTTAGGAAATCAGTTCAAAAGCCTCCCATCCCATCCCATCCCATCCCACCCCATTCCATCCCATCCCATCCCTGTGGAGAAGTCCTGCAAACCACACAGCTCACTATCTATACCCTCAAAGCTTAACCCCAAAGCTGTATTCTGAGGACATTGGCTTTTTCAGAGCCTAAATCCCAAGTTGTTCCGTGTGCAGCCTGCTCTCCGACCCCAGCAGTCCACAGGTCATTTCTAAGCAGCAAACCTTAGGGAAGGGTGGGAAAAGCCGTAAATCCAGGTTCAGGATCCAAGCAAAGGGAGGCTGGAAAGCCAAGGGCTTAACCAGAGAGGACAAAAGGGCGCTCCCAGCCCAGGGCCTGACTCCAGCGCTCAGCACCAACGCTTCACCCCCATAACAGCTCGAGAGGAGCAGCTCCTCCTGGTGCTGCTGGGTCCTGCTGGTGCTGAGCCCGTTCCCACCGTCACCACCCAGTGAACTTTGGTGCTCCCAGAGCTGACGTCTCCCCAGCCCTTTCGCAAGAGCCGTTTCCGGAGCATCCAGCACTGGCAAAGCCGGAGCTGCCCGGCCACGGGAGCCCAAGAACGCTCCTTGGGTTCATTTCCAGTCAGAGAAGCCCTGCTTGGAAAGCTGCAAATGGGACTCAGGGCCCACATGGAGCTTGCCTCACTGAGCGGGGTGAAGGCTTTGCTTTAAGGGGCTGTCACTCATCAAAGCCGACCCAAGGCTGCTCCCCACCGTGTTCCTTTGCTCTCTTTCAAGCGTGCAAGCAAAGCCAACCTGCCCTGGAACTACCACCGCAGAGGCACCTTTCCCCCTTTCCTAAAGGACGGAGCAGGGGGGCCGCTTTCTCCCCTGTTCACGGATGCCCACCAAGGGCTGGTTTTCCAGGCTCCCCTCCTCTGCTAAGATCGAGCCCAGGCAGCAGCATCATGGCTGCTCCAGCAGCAGCCACTTCCCAGGTTTAGAGCCCCCATTCCCGGCCATCCTGAGCCCAGGCAGAGCTCCCACCTTCCAGGCACAGCACGCGGGGAGCGGAAACAATAAGCAGCCATAGGAGCCCAGTATCAAAGCCCTGAGAGCCTGCAGGAGATGCACGCAGTCAACTGGCCCTTTCCTGTTGCTTTTTCTCTGGCATAAACACCGGCTGTATGCGAGGCGCGATGAGCATCGCTGCCGTTAACACACCGAAGCTGAAGAGCATCGCTGCCGTTAACACACCGAAGCTGAACACCTTCCCCAGGCTGGCTTTTCCTTCAGGAAGCGGAGCTGCTCTTCCCTAAAGCGCGTCTGCATTCCCACATTCAACAGGGCTCCGGCATCCACCCCTCACCTCCAGCCCCAGTGGGGTTTAAAGCCGTTGGCTGCTGCTGACAAGTCCTGATCTGCACACACAAAGTTATTAGCAGCCGCTTGGGAACACACAACGCGAAGGGCGAGAGGCTTGGGGAGGAGAACAAACGTTCGGCTCCTGTTGGAACAGGTCCCTGCCTTACACAAGCGGAGATGGCCCCCGATAGCCACAGGGCCATGGGCTGCGGGCAGCCGAGGATGCCGCCAGCCCCACCAGGAGATGCTCAGAGATCCCTGGGGACAAGGGCCTGGCTGTCCAGAACCGCGGAGCTGCCACCCGGCATCCCCATCAGGTGAAGGGGAAGCACAGCCAACCCCAACGCACAGTCTGCCCCCGTTTACAGCCGTTATCACCCGATATTCCCGTTCTAAGGAACCCCAACCACCATCCAGCACGTCCCAAGAGGCTCCATAGCAAGCACAGACAGCACCGAGCCCCCCTCAGCCCCATGGGTTGAAGCCACAACCCCTTGAGGCCGCAACAACAACAACGCGGTGCCCCTTCCCCTGTCGTGTTCCCCCCCCCCGGGCCGGGGCCGGGACCCCCCAGCACACACAGACCCCCCCCGAATCCCGTTTCCCATCGTTATCCCTCCGCACACGCCGGCTCTTCCCAGCCAAGCCAAGGCGAGGGCCTGGCTCCGAGGCGCCAGCACGCACAGAGGGGGTGCCCCCCCCCTGCATGGGTCCCCTTCGCACCCCGGACCCAGCTCCACACCGGGGCCTTGACACCCCCAGGCCCCCCCATGGATCACCCCGATTCCCTCTGCCCCCCCCTCCCGCCCGGTTCCTGCCCTCGCCCCCCGCCTCCCCTCTCGATCCCCCCCGGTTCCCCTCCCGGCGCCGGGCGGGGGCGGGGCGGCGCGCCGCCATGTTGTGCCCGGTGCGGGCCGGGCCCGGGGCCCCCACTCACCGCGGGCCCCGTGGAGCGCCCCGGCCAGGAGCAGGACGAGGAGCGGGATGGCGGCGGACGGCGGCGGGGGACGGCGGAGGGCGCGGGGCGGCGGCGGCGGCGGCGGCGGGGGGGGAGCGGCCATGGCGAGCGCCGCGGCCTCGGAGCGAGCGGCCGCCAGCGCCTGCGGGAGGGGCGAGCGCGGCGCGCGGCCGGGGGCGGGGCCAGCCTTAAAGGGGACGCGCCCCCATGTGGGGCGGGCCTCCCGTGCGTGTACACGTACGTACATGTATGTACACGTGTGTGCATGCAGCCGTGCATGGTTGTGTGTGTACACGTGTGTACGTGTGTGTACACGTGTGTACGTGTGTGTACACGTATGTGCATGCAGCCGTGCATGGTTGTGTGTGTACACGTGTGTACATGTATGTGAACGTGTGTGCATGAAGCTGTGCATGTTTGTGTGTGTGTATACACGTATGTACACTTGTGTTGCATGCAGTCGTGCATGGTTGTGTGTGTACATGTATGTACATGTATGTACACGTGTGTGCATGCAGCCGTGCATGGTTGTGTGTGTGTACATGTATGTACATGTGTGTGCAGTCATGCATGATTTGTGTGCCTGCAATCACACATGATTTTAATGTGCATCAGCTGTGCATGCGTGTACATGCGTGTGTGGGTGTGCTGCTGAGCCATGCCTGGCCAGGGCCCCCCTGCCCTGCTCAGCCCCACACCTCTCACCCCATTGCCAGCCCTACCGAGGGCCAGCAGCTCCCAGTTCCTCCCAGTCCCTAACTGGGAGCAGGAACTCACCCTGGAGCATGGGCGGTGCGGACCCCAGCACACCGGAGCATCTGGTGCATTCCCAGCCCCTCACGGGCGCAGGGAGAGGGTTGGGATGAGGCTGGAGCGAGGTTTATTGTGGGATGCGGAGCGGTACACGGTGCTGAAGCGGTAACCGAAGCCATAAGGAAGCGCCGGGCAGCAGGGTCCCATCCTGCGGTGTGGCCCCGGTGCCCGACGGGGCAGGTTTGGCAGCTCTTAAGCGATCAAATAGCTTTACACTTTATTAAATATATTAAATCTTAATCATTAAATAACTGTGGAGCAAAGCTGGGGCTGTGGAACATCACAGTCCTGGACCAACAGCCCTCAACGGGGGGTGGGTTCGCGGATGGAGGCGAGCGGTGCGAGCTGGAGCTGGCCGCAAGGGTTGCACCGAAACACCCAGACGCTGGCAAAGCCCAAAAGGGCTTGGGAAGGGGGAAACGTGGGGAGCTCCTTGGGAAGAATCAGGCCCCTTGGCTGCGGGAGCCGGCGCTCGGCGCATTCCTGCAGCACCGGGGATGCTCGGTGCCGGTGGCTCCTTGTCCTGGGGACCCCCGAGACCTGGCCCTGGGGGTCTCTGCCGCTGGACCCGCTTCTCCCGCTGAGATCCAGCCCACACGGCACAGCCCTGCCGGGGAATTCCTGCTGCCGCCGAGCCCGCGGCATTCCCGCTGCCAACGCGCCGGGCAGGCAGGTCGGGGCAGCGCCCGCTGCCTGCGGTGCCGCGGGGGGTGCCAGCCGTTGCCATTCCCAATGGACAGGCGCTGGATGATGGATCCAGGCCTGCAAGATTCCTCCCTGTGTTTCCTCGTTTTCCCTGTTTTCTCCCTCCTTGCCAATGATAAAGCCCCTGAGGAGGGGTGGGAAAGGCAGCGGCTGCAAACACCCTCCCCTTGTGACCAGGAGCCATCCCGGTGTCAGTTTCGCCAGCATTCCCAGTGCAGCCCATGGATGCTCCAGCACATGCCCGGCGCTCACTGCTCCGGTTTGGGCTTTTCCAGGGAATTGTTCAGCTTCTTCAGCGTCTTTTTGATGCGCAGGGCGGTGAGGCGGGCCGAGGGGCTCTGGTACCAGCATTCCTTCATGATCTTTGCCAGCGCTGACAAAACCTGGCGCAGGCACAAAGAGGGCAAGACATGGATGGGTGTCATGGGATGGGGTGGGAATAGGATGAGGGCAGCCCCCCCCTGGGACTCACCGGGTCAGAGAAGAGGCGGTTGGGCACCACGGGGGTCTGCTGGTCGATGCACACCACCTTCTTCATGTCCTCGAAGCTGGGGTCGCTGGGGACGGCGTCGAAGAAGGGTGGCCGGTACTCCTCCACGATGCCTATGGGAATGGGGAGCAGTGTGAGGGCACTGGGGGGATGCGAGGCTCACCCCCTGCCCCATGCATCGCAGGATACAACAGACCTGCCCCGTGCCGTGGGGTACATGTGGGAATTGCATCAACCACAGCACTGGTGCCACACCAGACCCACACGAGCCCGCCCGCTGGCCCCGCTAATCTCAGTTTAGTGCCTCCATATGTCTGTGTGTCCACGGGGTTTAACCTCTCTGACGGGAGCCCCCTGCACCCCGAGGGGTGGCTCCTGCACCTTGGGGTCCTCTGGACCCCCTTTCCTTGATGCCGTGGGGCTGCGCAGGGGCAAGGGTGGGGGGGTGAGGCTTAAAACCAGCTGACTGACGGTCACCCCCTGCACATGGTTGGGTGATTCGGGGTAAATGATTAACGTGAAGGAGCCCTGGGGTGGTAAATGAGATTATCCAGAGGCCAGACTGTGTCTGGGGGAGCCTCCTGCCTCCCCCTTCCATTAATGCCTCCAATGGGCTTTGCTGGTGCTGAGCAGGGGCAGGAGGCTCCTCCGCTGCGCTGGGGACCCCATCGCTGTCCCCAAGCCCGTGCTCCCGAGCCAGGCCCCGCTGGCCGGAGGTCCCGGCCGTGGCCGGGTTCCAAGCAGCAGCTCCAAGCTGCTTGTTTTCTAATCAGCGCTGAACAAACAAAGCGCTGATTGAGTCTAATGGGCCCTTTAATCAGGGAGCCGGGTGCTGACACTAGATTACAGTGTTTATAATTGACAGCTAATCTGGGCGAAGGGAACGAGGGACAAAAAGGAACAGAAAGGAGCAGAGAGGAGGGAAGGGGAGCCCGGAGCAGGCGCGGAGCCGCTCACCATTCACCACCGTGCGGCGGGTGATCTCCCACAGCACCAGCCCATAGGCCCAGATGTCCGTCTTCTTGTAGGACTCGAAGCAGTCGGTGCGGATCTGCTCGCTCAGCACCTCCGGGGCCATGTAGCGCTTGGTGCCCACCCGGGGGTTGTTGCCAATATCCAGGTAGTCGCTGCCCTGGGAGTGCATCACAGCCAGCCCTTGAGGGGGGAATCAGAGAGGCAATGGGGTTGGAGATTGGCAAGGCCAACAGGGAAATGCTGGGATGATGGAGGCAGTCAGGGCCATGCTTGTGCTGTGACTGCAGGACACTGCATCGCTGGGCAGGATGGCCCTGGGTACCACATCCCCAGGGGACCTCACCCGTGGGTATTGTGCCCTCAGGGTACCAAATCCCTGGGGTACCACATCCCTGGATATCACACCACTGGGGTACCACATCCCGGCCCCCCATCTCACCCAGGTCTGCAATGCAGCACTGCCGGTTGCTCTTCACCAAGATGTTCCTGCTCTTGAGGTCACGGTGGGCAATGGCAGGCTTGCCCTGGGTGCCAAAGATCTCCACATGGAGATGGACAAGGCCACAGATGATGGAGCAGGCCAAGCCCAGGCAGGTCTCCACATCCAGGGCTGTCCTCTGCAGGAAGTCGTAGAGTGAGCCGTTCTCATGGTAGTGGGTGATGAGCCAGAGCTGAGTGCTGGAGTTCCTCGACGTCATGTCAGAGGCAATGAAGCCTGGATGTGAAGAGGAACTGTGACCGTGGAGCCGCTTTGCAGCTACTCCGGGGTCACCAAAGCATCCCTGGGTACCGTATCCCCAGGGTACCACATCCCTGGGTACTGCATCCCTCTGGTACCACATCCCAGGGGTACCGCATCCTTGAGTATCACAGCCCTGGGTACCACATCCCTGGGTTCTACATCTCTCAGGTACCATATCCCTGGGGTACCGCATCCTTGAGTGTCACAACCCCGGGTACCACATTCCCGGGTACCACATCCCATCCCGCTGCTCACCCAGGATGTTGTCATGCCGCAGCAGGACGGTGTTGTAGATCTCTGTCTCACGGAACCATGACTGCTCATCACGGGAGGAGAAGATCTTCACGGCCACGCTCTCCCCATGCCACACGCCTCGCCACACCTCCCCATAGCGTCCTTTGCCTGCCATGGCCACAGCACCACGTCACCATGGCCATGGTCCCCTCTGCCCATCCCCATGATGGTGTGGAGCATCACAGGGTATCTGTTGACCTTGGTCAAGTGACACCCACCACCACTCCCTCCATCCTCATCCCACCAGCAGCACAGGGGGAGAACTTGGGCTCTCTGGGGGGTTTTGGCTGAGACACCCAGGTCCTGGCTCTGGTGCCACCACAGGGGGAAGGTGGCTGTGGGTGCAGCCTCTCTCCTTACCCACGCACTCCACCAGTGTGATCTGCCTGGCCACAGTGCGCTGGACGAGGAAGGGCAGCCCCGAGCCGCTGCCCGTGGTGCAGTCATCGCTCAGCAGGTCCTGCACAGGCAGTGATGGGGTCAGCTCGAGAACCAGCCCACGGATCCCTCCCTCCAACACCTCGGGGGCATTTGGAGCTCACCCACCTCCAAGGTGCTGTCTCCCATCATAGATGCCTTCAGCATGAGGTCCATGTCCCCCAGGTCGCTTTTGTTGTGGCGATGCTGGGCCACCTTCCAGCAGAAGAGCGCTGTGAGCGCCACGAGGAGGAGGAGGGCGAGCAGCGGGACGAAGATCATGAGGAGGAGGCTGGGCAGGGAAGGCAACTTTCCCAGCGTGTCTTCTCCTGTGTGGGGGGAAACAATGGGTGGGAGCGTGAAGGTGGACCTGGGAGGGTTGAGGGTGCTTGGGGAGGGTGGCTCTGCACTGGGGTCAGTGGGTGACAACCCACAAAGGGACATCCCTATCCCACTTGGTGACCCTTGAGGTGCTGATGGAGCCCAAGCACACCTCCATCCACGCAGGGCTCCCTGTACCTTGCAGGAAGATCTCCAGCTCGGCATTGCACATGCTGGTGTCGCAGCACCTCATCCCGTACTGCTCCGTCACGGGCGTGTGGCAGTTCTCCAGGATGTGCTGGGAGAAGCAGCCCCGGTGCTGGGTGATGGTCCCGTCCTCCTTCCTCTTGCTGACAAAGCACACCTTGCCCGTGCAGGTCGGCGTGCTGCAGTGCGGGACGTCGCAGGCGCACAGCAGCTCATCTGCACAGAGAGGATGGGGCACGTTGTGCCATGGGGACACCCCACAGCGCAGCCGGGGACACGCTGCTGGCTTCGGGGACAGTGCCATCTGTCCTAAAGTCTCTTGAACCCAATACCCCCCTCTGGCCTAAAAGCTGCCCCTTGTCATGGCCATGGGGTAGCGGTGGGGCTGCTCATCCCTCACTGAGCTCTGCTGCCTCAGTCCTCCATGCACAAGCACCGTGTCTGGATCTGTCCCCAGGTCACCGTGGTTTTCCCCTGGGATCACGCTCCCAGCTCCTCACCATCACCCCTGGGAAAAGCCGTGTGCATCAAGCCTGCTCCCATCTCCCCTCTGGCAACGTCACAGCAGGGACGTTCACTTGATGAACCAGAAGGAATTGAGCCGAGATCCCCTCTGGTCACTGTCACAGCAGGGAGCACCTCAATGGGACAATGGGGGTCCCCAAGGAGCTCTGTCCCCCCCTGCTGCTTGCTCCAGGCAAGCTCCAGCAGAGGTTTATTTGGAGCACAGCAAGTGGTGACATTCCCAAAGGGCCGAGGGTTTGTCTGAAACCCGATGCATGGCAGGAGCATCACCACATCACCTGGCTGGTACTCACCGGCTGCAGAGCACAGGGACATGGTCATCAGCATCAGCACCGGCACCGGCACCAGCACCACCCAGCTGCAGGCTCCACACAGCATCTTCCTGTGGGAGCAGAGGGGTGAGAGGGACCCCCAATGTTCCCACATCCCACACGTCCCTGCAGTGCCCGTGTCCCTATTGCAGGGCTGGGGAAGGAAAAGGGGCACCTGGGGAGTGATGGAGTGGGCAGAGTGTGCGGTGTGAGGTGGGATGTGCTGCTCCCAAGTGGAGTTCGGCTCCGGACGTCCTGGGTACAGCCCTTCCTAAGAGCAGATCCCTGGGACCTCCTGAGCTGGGAGAACCTCCCAGCCGCAGCATCACCAGCACACAGAGCCCCGGTGAGCGGGGCCCTCACCGTGCCCATGCTGCCCCAACTCCCTCCCTCATCCCAGTGGCCGTTCATGGGCTCTGCAGCCCCGGATCCCAGCTTTGGCAGCATCCGAGGTGCAGACGGAGCTCAGAGCCCCAGCCGGCGCCGAGTGCGTCTGGCCACGATCCGGGGCTGGGTCCCGGGGGGGCTTTTGCATGGAGTTTATCAATGACACGAGCAGAGGCGGCCAAATCCCAACCCCTCAACCCCCCCCCAGCTGGGATTTGGGGGAAGTTTCGCTGTTTTCTGCCTCTTTCTGCCCCTGGCAAAGGCTCGCTCCTGCCAAAGCAAACACGGCGGAGCCGCCGCTGCCCCCCGCCGGCATCGCTGCCCCTTTCCATGGCTCCGAGCGCTCCCCGGCCCCTCCTCGGCTCATTCTTTGTCATTCCCGACATAAACACGCCAAAGGCTCCGTTTCCTGCAATTGAAGGAGCCCTGCCCAGGGCTGCCGGGACAGGAATCAAGATTGTTTAGATCCTGGCCTCGATGGGGAAGCGCAGTCACGCAAACCCGGCCCTCAGGAGCACGCTCCGGCCCCGGCCCCGGCTCCGGCTCCAAACAGGCTTTTCCTCCCCAGAATAGCTGCCTGGGTGGTGCTTGTGGGGAGGACACAGCAACGGGGCTGGTCCTGGGTGCCCGCTGGGATGCTGCTGGGGATCAGCATCCCCTGGAGCAGGGCTGCAGTGCCCTGAGCCTCTGGGATGCTCCCTGTGAAAGGTGGCTTTTAAAGAGAAGCCAAAACTGCTGGGGAGTGAATTCCCTTCTCGGGGGCACTTCCATAGCATCCCGAGCCTGTGGGATGTTTGCTATGGATCACAATGTGGTCAGGGCCTCAGCCCAAACTTTGCTCTGCAAGCAATAACATAACCAAGAGCAAACCTTAACCCAAAGTTTCCCTGGCATCCCATGGGAAGAACATCCCAGGACAAAGCAGTCCCCATGTCTCCATCACTGTGCCCAAACTTCCTCCCTCCTTTCTGGAGCTGCCTTCCCAGTGGCTGGAGCATCTTCCCAGGGAGGCAATGGCAAGTTACATTGCTGTGTTCCATCCTTCCATCCTTTGGGATTTGCAGCAGCAGCAGGAGAAGGGAAAACACCCCAGTTGGAACCTCTTGGATGGGGCATAGCTGGGAGCGATGGGCAGCTGGGGGGTTCCAGAACAAGATCCAATTCCCAACTGGAATTTCCTTGTGACCCCACACACGCATGTGGTCACACATGCGGCAAAGCCGGTTGCACCCTCCAGTGTGGCCCCATTGCCACCATTCTAGCCCCTGGCTGAGAGCTGTCACCTTCCGCTTGTGCCTTCCCAAATCCACTCAAATTCCCCACTCCCAGCTCAGCTCCAGGCTCCCAGTAGAAGCCATGCACGATTCCACCTCTCCAGCCAGGACCTGGCCATGAACCCAGCTCTAAGCTCCCATCACCACCAGAGCCCTGATTCCAGCCTCCACCAACCCTGACGTCAACCCCGGTGTCCCTCCAAACATGAAGGAAACGGGACCAAATCCTGATTCCAGGATAAATCCAGGGGGAAACAGAGCTCGGGGCAGCTCTGGACCCCACTCACCTCCAGCATCCGTGTCCCGGTGCGGTGCCGAGCTGGGATGTGGCGCTGGCTCAGCCGGGGCAGGTCTCAGCAGCCCGGCTTGGAGGAGCTTCATGGATCTGCTCCCCTCCCGCCGCCCATCCCAGCTCCCGGCTCCCTGCTCCCGGTGGCCCTGGGATCCGAACGCAGCCGCTTTGTGGTCTGGATGTGGGAGAAGTCAGAAAAATGCTTCTTATTACTGCCTCTTCCTGCCTGGCTCCTCTCCACCACTCCCAGCTAATAAAGCATTTCCTATTGCTGAGCACACATCCATGGCCAGCCTCCCTTCCTCCCGCACACCGGGCCCCAGCTCCATCCTGGTTGCTCTCCCTCGGCCCATTCCTCCCACCCTTGTCCTTCACCAGGCACTTTCCCACTCAGTTTCCCGGCTTCCCAGGCAAACCCAATGGGGACATCCATCATTTCTCCTACCCTGATCATCTAAGGACCTTATAAAGCTGGTTGCTTTGATGGTGATGGATCTGGAAACCATGGAGAGATGCTGTGGGAATGACCTTGATGTGCTCGACCATCCCTCCCACTCCCGCATCCAAGTCTCATGGGGATGGGAGGGAGCATCCCGGCGGAGCCAAGGGGCTTCCTGGCTCTTTGCATCAGGGAGTGATGACCCTATTGGGGATGCTCAGCCCTGGGCCTGGGGGTGCTGCTCAGTGCCAACACATCCCTGTGCCTCCTGTGGGTGCTGGGATGCCGGTGGCAGAGCCGTTCCCACGGTGGGAGGCCGGGCACTTCCCGCTCCCTGTGGGATGCGGAAGCACCGCTTCCCCTTTTGCCAGTCTGGGGCTGTGCTTTGGGCCTCTCTCAGCAGCTTCACCCTCCTCCTGTCCCCCGCTCTCCTTCCAGCACCTTCCCAAGCCCCATCCCTGCCTTTCTCCCAACAGCACGGGGACCCGCTCCCATCCTCTTTCCCAGTGAAGCTACAGGGCCCGATTTTCCTTTGTTCCCTACAGCATCCCCAACCCCAACCACATCCTGAACCCAACCAGCACCCAGAGCAAAGGGGATCATTGCCCTGGGGGGAATGGCTGGACTTGATGGTCTTAAAGGTCTTTTAACCTGCTTGAGTCTATGATGCTAAAGCTGGAGCCTCGCTGGCCGCCTCGGCCCCGCTATCGGCAGTGATCTAGGAAGCTTAAACAAACAAAGGCACAAACCCAGGATAAATCATGCGGGACCCTCAGGCCTGACCCTGCCCGTGCCGGGGCCGAGCTCTGTGCAGGGGAAACGGGCAGTTTCCATCCGATAGGAGCCGCCCGGGAGGAAGCCGGTGCCTGCAGACGCCTTTATCACCGCGACCATCTCTGATCCGATCTCATCAGCCCCTCCCGGGGCTATTCCTGGCTGGTTCCTGTGTCCCTGCTGCCTTCCATGGGTTGATGCACATGGTGGGCATCAGCTCCCTGCTTTATCGTTGCAGTCAGTGATAACAGTCATCTGGAGCCAGGGCTGTCCACAGAGGTGTTAATGGATGCACTAAACCCACTCCAGGGTCTCTGATCCCTGCTCTGATCCTGCACCCACAACCTCCTGTTCACCCCTCAAAGCAAGACCTTCATCATCATTTGGGTGCTCAACATGGTGCATCATCGCACAGAAAGCTCCATGGGCATCCATGGGCCGTGGTCAAACCACCCCGAAAGCACATCCAGCATTCCCCATCACAGCAGAGGGGACTCTGGCTGGTGGGACCCTGACTGCCCCTTCCCCCTGTACAGCAGGGTCCAGGTTGGTGCAAGTGATGCTGCTCCATGTGCTGCCCAGGACAAAGAGTTCCTCCATCTGCATCCCGGAAATACACAGGAATGGGGAAGTGAATGGCACTGAGGGGGGGACAGGGAGGAGAGGGGACACTGGCAGTGATGGGGGAGCTTCCTGCCAGCCTGACAGGCATCCCTGAGCTTTATTCAGCAAATCAATCCTGTTAACATGGCAACCGCTTCCATTTCAGGACCATGTTCCACACACACACGGCAGCATCCAGAGCTCAGGAAGATCAAGGGGAAACAGGAATAAAAAGAAGGAAAAAGGACAAAAAGAAGAGGAGGGAAGAAGGAAACCTCTGCTTTAGCATCTCTTCCCCCCTTTCTCCTTCTTCTCCTTCTTCTTTGCCTCCTCGGCTGCTTTTCTCTCCTCCTTCAGCTCCTTGTACCTCCACTTGGGAGGCTGCAGCAGGTTCTTGTCCCTCCCGCGTGGGCTCCGCTGCCTGGTGCGGGCAGGGGGACAGGGGTCTCTGCTCACTCGGATCCTCGGGATCGGCTCCCCTGGGAAGATGCTGTTCCCACGCCGCAGCCACAGGGGCAGGAAGCTCAGGAGGGTCCTGGCTGGGCGGTGCGGAGGGAAGAGCCGGAGCTCCGATGGGGCTTGGCCATTGCAGGAGGATGCGTTGGTGCTGCAGCTCGAGGCGGGTCCTGGCTCCGTATCCACATCCAGCACGTGCTTCCCAAGGATTTCCGGCACGGACAGCCTGCTCTTGCCCACCTCAGGCGGGCTGTTGGGGCAGACGGTTTGGCAAGCAGTGGCCACGAAGGGGCTGGCCAGGGAGGTCGTCATCCTCACCATGTGGTCCAGGACGCCGTCCTCCTCGGGGTTGCGTGGGAAGCTGATGGAGAACACGGATCTGATCTTCTCAAACAGCCGCTTGCTCCTGGATTTGGGGCTCAGGGCCTTGGCCACCAGCTCGGCCAGCGCTGGCCACTCGGGCTGGTACATGGTGCTGAACTGCTCTGCCCGCGGGCGCCGCAGGAGGCTCCGGATGCGCACGGTGGTCTCGAAGCGGCCGGTGAAGGCTGCCCATTCCCTGGCTGTCTTCCCTTTGATGGGATCCACCGCTTGCAGGTCAGCTCCTAGAGACACGGGATGCAGAGAGCATCACCCCGGAGCAGCAGCATCACCCCCCAGCCAATCCCATGGGAGACCCTCACCAGCCAGGAGCAGTGCGGTCACGCAGTCCTGCTGCCCCTGCACCGCTGCCTTCATCAGCGCCGTCAGGCCCCGTGGGTCCCTCTTGTCCACCTCCAGCCCTGGGTAGTAGTTGAGGAGGTAGTTGACGATGGTGATGTGTCCTTAACCAGAGAGAAGCTGCGTTAGAGTTGCCACAGTGAAGGAGTGGGAACTGCTGGTGCCTCCCTGGAGAACGGGGATTTAGTGAGGAGTAAGAGGGAGAGGTTTGGAGGGATCAGGGCTGAAAGGGTTGGGTTCCAACCCAAACCATTCCATGGTTTTATTGCTGTAGGAATCTCCATTTTACATCATTTACCCACTGCTAAGGCAGACCAGAAGCATTTATGGGGGTGATCACATCCCATGGGAGCCTTGGCTTTCCCAACAGCTCATATCAGGGTTTATGGAGGGACACATCGCTCCCCAAGGGGTGCCATGGGCTGTGCCATGCCTACCTGCCTGCGCAGCCATCATGAGCGCCGTGTTCCCATCCTTGTCCTGCTGGTTGACGTCTATGTAGGGGCACTGCTGCAGCAAGGGCACGATGTCCACAAAGCCCTTGTAGCAGGCGACCATCAGCCCGTTCTGCAGAGGGGCAGTCCTCAGCATGGGGGTACCGCAGCATCCTCCCCACTGCGATGCTCCCATTGGCCCCCCTTCCACCCTCCAGCCCAAGGCAGGATCAGGAGGGGAGGATGCACAGGGGTGCTCCAAGGATGGGATCAACCCCAGGATCTCCATCCCGTGTCAAAGCCACCCTCCCGGCCACTCACCCTCCCGTTGACGTCCACCTCCGTGGCCTCGCTCCTGGTCACCCCCTGCTCCAGCCTCTCCCGCACCAGCCTGGCATCATTCCTGGCACAGCACTGGTAGAGGCTGAGGGCCCTGGCACCGCTGGCCTCCAGCGGGAGCTCATAGCAGGGATAGACGGAGTCATCGGAGAAGATGCTGCTGGTGTCCGAGGGCTCCTCCTCCTCCTCCTCCTCCTCCTCCTCGTAGTGCAGCTCCGGGTCGGATGCATCCAGGCTGGAAGCACGTTCTCCCCCACTGCAGGCATCTGTCATCCGGCCCAGCCGGGGGGAGCGAGCCCAGCTTGGCCCCGAGCCCTGCCTGGCGCCAGGAGCCTCTTCCCGTGGGATTCAGGGATCCTCAGGACCCTTCACACCCTCCTGTGGAGGCACAGAGCAGGCGTGGAAACCCCGTGAGCTCTGCATCCCTCATCCCATGGGGAAGCCTCAGCTGGCTCCCAGCCACCCAGGGCCCAGTTTCCATCCCTTGGACTGGGATCTTGGGTACTGCCGAGGGAAAGAGCATCCCCACAGCATCGTCTCCAGCACAGAGCAGGGAAAACAGGAGGACTTCTTGGGGGCTGAAAGGTGGGGAAGTGTCCCAGGTGGGTGGGGAGGTGGGAACTGGGATTGGGAATGACTTGCTGGAGGTACAGATGCTGATGAGGGCACTGAACACAGCCCCAGCAGGATGGGCACATCTCCATCCCACCCTATGGCACACCACTGCTGCACAGCCACAGAGACCTTTCCCAGCACCAGAACCAGAGCCGTGTACAAAGAGAAGGGATAAATCCAGCTCCTTGTGAGCAAGCAGCAGAATAGAGGCCGGAGCAGCTCCCGGATCCCCAGGGATAAGCCTTATGGCACAGGGAACCTGCAGCCCTGGCAGCAGAATTCAAACCCCGGATAGAAGCCAGCTATTCACTGAGAAAGGAAAAAGCCTTTGCAATGCCATTAAAACCTCCCACCCCTCTTGGACATCCCAAACCAGGCTCTGGGAATGAGGAATCCTTACCTGGGGCTCAGACCTTCCCCACGGCTCCCTCTTGGCCTGGGCAGCATCCTGGCTCCAAGCAGGAAGGAAACCTTGGCAGGAACCAGTGGAAACCCCCCCGTTTACCCTTTGCAGTGAGAAGGAAGCCTCTGCTCTGGGTCCGAGGTGGCCTTTGGGCACCAAAGCTGTGACGAGCCGCACGCTGGCGTGGGCTCAGCACAGATAAACCCCTGCTTAAAATGGCTTCGTGAGCCTGAGCAGGATCAGGGCTGCTTGGGGAGGATTTAGCACCCTCAGCCCAGGAGGATGCTTTGTACCTGCCTCACCTCTGCTGCAGCCTGAGCAGCCCCCAGGGACTCAGCCAACCCCCCCCCAGCTCCCTTTATATGGTGGTAATCAGGGGAAATGGGGAGCTGCTGCTTCAGCCAGGGGCACAAACCCCTGTGGCTGTGCAGGTGCATGGGATGAACCCTGGAATTCCAGCCAGCCCTCCCCATTCATCCTCCTGGATTCTGAAGCCCTCAGAGGGAGCAGCAGGAGCTGGTTTCCTGCATTCCATGTGGAACCTGGCTGCTCGCTTGTCTCCATCTCTGCAGGGCTGGCTGGGTGTGAATGGGTTTAACACGCTGGGGCCAGCTGGGAGAAAGGGCACGTTTAGTCCCTGGATCAGCTGTTTTCATGGCACAAGGGCAGGAGTTTGGTCCCAGAGCAGATCGTGGGAGGCCACGCTCTCCATTTCCAGCAATTGCTAAGGCAGAGTCCCAAAGGTCACTGTGATTGCACCCCTGAACGTGAAAATCTGGAGCAGATGAAGG